ACCTGCTGCCCACGCTGCTCTGCGTGCAGCCCAGGGCACAGTTGGCTTTCTGGGCTGCCAGCGCACGGTGCCGGCTCATGTTGAGCTTCTCATCAACCTCATCAACCATTCATGCACCCCAGGCCAGGATTTCTGGTCCTGTGATATCCATTAAGAAGAGTATCAGTCCCTGGGCAGCCTGGTGGGCCTGGGGGTGCTCCCAGAGGACTCTGCAACATCTGCCCACTTCCAAAGTGCTGCCCACTTCCAAGTGTTTCCTTTGCCTGTGCAGGGCACGCCCAGTGCCTTGGGACAGCCCCCCTTGATGAAGCACAGAGAGCAATCACTGGGACAGGGGCAGGAGCAGGGACACTGCCACCTCCAGAGCCTGCACAGCAGGCAAGACAGGAGAACTTGCCATTCCCAGAGAGGCTCCAAGACATCCCTTGCTCTGGCCACCGTGGCCACCGGCTGGGACTGCATGGCTTTCACACTTTCTTCTTTCCAGGGGGAAACGTCAGTGGAGACCAATACCACCGAGCCTGAGTGGAACGAGCGGATCAGCTTCATTGAGATGTTCCCGCCTCTGGCCAGGAAGATAAAAATCCAGGTTCTGGATGATGCCAATGTTGGTGACGTGGCCATTGCTACACACTACATTGACCTGCAGCAGATCTCAGACCCTGGCAGGAATGGTGAGACCTAGCACAGCCCCATGCTGTACCCCTCTGCCCTGCCGTGGTGGTCTCCTGGAGGTGGGAAGCTGGAGTGGCAGAAGCAGGCTCACATCCCTGTGTCCTGGGCTGTCTTCTTGGGGAGAGGTCTCTCTGCAGCAGCACCTGTGGTGTAATTAGACCCTGTCCCTGTCGCTACAGGCTTTAACCCCACGTTTGGCCCAGCCTGGGTGAACCTATATGGCTCCCCCCAGAACTCGGCTCTGCGGGACATCCACAGGGACCTCAACGAGGGCATGGGTGAGGGGATCTTCTACCGTGGGCGCATCCTCATCGCCGTCACAGTGGAGATCTTCAGCAGCCCCAGCGTGGCAGACAGGAAGCTTGGGGACAAGATGAAAGGTGCCCTCGGCAAACTGAAGCTGAAGAAGAAAAGTAAGAGATCCAGGGAGAAGGCCAAAGAACTGAGCCAGCTACAGGGAGAGGAGGAGGCTGGGGGCTCTCAGGAGGCCGAGCAGCCTGGGGAGGTCACTGTGGAGGTGGAAGAGCTTCATCCCCTCCCTGAGGTGAGTCCTGCCGTGCCGGCGTGGCTGACCCATGGAGGCCTGCGGCATGCACTGGCCTCATGGAGACGAAGCAGTGGGATCACTTGCTGGTGTAACAGTGATGGAGCAAAGCCAGCCTGCCCATTGCTGGGCCATCCAGGGCTTGCTGAGCCTCTGCAAGGGCTGAGGCCACAGCTGCAGCCCCAAAAATGCCTCCCGCAGAAAGGCTGGAGCATCCCCACATGTGCTGCCTTCCTGGCGCAGGGAGGGCTCTCACGGGGGTTATTCCCAGGGCACAGCTGCCTTTGAGCATGTACTTTTGCTCCCCTGGAGCCATCCCTTAGCCTGCAAACCTGCCCAGTGGCTTTGCACGAGCATCAGCCAAAGCTATGGCTCTGCACCAACCCCCCAGATTTCCCAGAAAACTTGTCCCATGTCTGACAGCCCCGCGGTGGTGACCTTGGCAGCAGCCCACTGATGTCGCTTGGGAGGGCTGACAGGCACTGGCCGTGCCCTGGTGCTCTCCAGGTTTCTGCTGGGCAGTGTTTTGGCACAGGAGGCTTTCAGGCTGATTTCTGTCTCCTTGCTCAGAATGCGTTGGGGAGGAAGGAGGAATTCCTCCTCTTCCTTGCCTTCTTTGAAGCCACTATGATGGACTCCTCTCTCGGCTCCAAGCCTGTCAGCTTTGAAGTCTCTATAGGTGGGTATTCCCCAGGGCCCCGTGTCCAGAAACTGTGGGAACAGAGCAAATGTCTTTCTGACAGCCCACGTCAGCACTGAGGCCCTAAGGTGCCAGCCCTTGTGCAGCTTGTGCCTCCAAAACAGGAATTCGGGAAGGACAGAGGATGAGGCCAGGGAGTGCGCACGGTGCTTTAATTAGCTTAAAGGTCTGCGTGCTCTCCTGTTTGGGGAGAGTGGTTGAAGCTCTCCTGAGAAATATTGGTGAGAAGAGGTAGAAGGGTTTGGGAGCAAGAAAGGGAAGCAAAGGAGGGGAAGCTGGGATACTGGGGTTCGCCATGTGGTCCTGAGAGGCTGTGACAGCGGGTGATGGGGAAACAATGGTAAGGGCATGTCCAAGCCTCCACCTCCTAAGCTGGGTGGGTGGAGATGCTTGATGCTGAGAAGTCTTCCTGACTGCCTGCTGCTGACCCCAGCATAGGGGTGTGGGTGGCAGTTAGCAGGACTTGGCAGAGCTGGTGGAACTTGAAGGCATACACAAGGACTTCCTGGTAATTGCCCAGCTTCCTCCCAGACCTCCTGGTTGTCCATGTGATGCTCTGATGGTTGGATGCCGCTGAACTGCTAGTTCCAAAAGCAATGTGTGCCCGTGTGCTTCTCGCGGCAGGGTGATTGCACTCTGATTTCGCAAGCTAGCAAAGTTGTTTAACAGCCATCCCACTTATCTGTTTACTGTTTAATGCTTAACTTCAAGGAAACTATGGCAAAGCTGAAGAGGTTGCGACCAAAGTGTGGAGAAAAGTGGAAAAGGGAGAAGTGAAAGAAGAAAAGCAGCCTTTGCTGGACCCTGGTTCAGATGATGAGTTGGATGTTGAAGTCCTGGCCCCAGCTTCACCAGCACTGAACAAGTCGGTCACGAAGAGCCAGAGACCAGAGCCCATGGAGTATGACAGGTGAGTCTTCTTCACCCTTCTTTCCCACCTGCCCTGGTCCTGCCTCAGCTTCCCAGGTTGGTTATTCCAGAAGTTATTAGAGGTCTCCTCAGCCATGCAGGTGCTGTGCAGGTGTTTCTCCTCTTTGCAAACCTGCGGTTTGCCGTGGTCTAGCTGGCTGCCATAGTCCATTAGCCCGACAGGCCCTGCGACATCTGCTTGATGTGTGCAGGTGGCCAAGGACAGGGTCACAGGGAAACTGTGACCCATCAATAACAGTGGTCCCTTTGCTGGTTAACAAGCAGCATCCTACGGGCTTAATTCCAGTGAGGAGGAAGGAGAGGAGTACTCTGGCACATACTCTCCTGTGTTGGACAGGCGAGACACATCCACAAGCTCTTCTGATAATACGTTTGTTCTGGGAATGCTGCCTGGTTTGTCCCACAGGCCTGGCAATGTCTTGTTTGCGTTGCAAGCCCTGTGCCTGCTGCTACTCAGTCCTATAGCAACAAGAAATCTTGGCAGCATCCCACGCTCCTGTCAGCCTCGTTCATCTGAGCCCGTGCTGCCCTGTCTGCTGGAAACCCTGTGTGCTGCTTTGGGATGGCAAAGGGCTGACCCAGCAGCTTGCATCCATGTCCGTGGTGCAGGACCCCAACCAGATGGTTCCCTGCGAGGAGGACAGAGCCCAGGCACTGCTCCCTGTGCTGTGTGCAAGCGCTGCATCATGACATGGCGTGTGCTTTCTGCAAGCAGCAGCCGTAACCTCCTGCCCCTGCTGCCCGTAGGTCCTACAGCTGCCTGCCCATGACGCATGAGAAGCCCTGCGTGTACGTGTGGAGCTACTGGGAGGATCACACCTGGAGACTCTTCATTTCCAACTGGATCGTGAAGCTGGCAGAGCGCCTGGTAGGGTGTTCAGAGTGTCCGTCTGCGGCACAGTCTTTCCTGCTGTGCTTTCCCGGTAGCATGTGCAGTTACTCTGTGATGTTTGCCTGACACATCCTCACCCCCCATGCAAGTCCGTGTCTCTCGCGGGGCTCAGTCCCACCTGCCCATTAGATGTGGTGCAGGGCAGTGAGTGCAGAGCCGCTGCCCATGCTGTGCCGTGGTCTGGCCGTGTCTCCTGGAGATGTGAGTGATGCGACATCCATGACGAAAGGCTCCTCTGCTGCCAGTCCTGAGCCGGGTGTGCCATGGGGAGATGCTGCCACAAGCAGGCTCAGCCTCGGGCTGTCGTCAGGGCAGTGCCGGCTCTTCCCCGGTGCCCTTCGGGTCTGAGAAGTCAGGAAGCAGAGCTTGCAGTGTGTTCCAGTGGCTGCTCAAGGACTGAGACACAAGGTGTAATGACCAGCGTTTGGGTCATCCCCAGGCTCCAGAGAGTCCCTGGCAGCACAGTGCTGGCCTGCAGCGCTCCTGCGATCCCCAGCTCTGCAGAAGGGCACAAGCCATTCGTGGCAAATGCAATATTTCACTCTGACCCCGCAGCCAGGCATGAGCTCCCTGAACGTTGCGCTTTCACCACAGGAGCAGGGGCTGGATGACGTGGAGAAGCTCATGAGAAGGCCAAAGGCTAAAGCAGAAGAGCGGCTCGGAGAGGTGCTGGAGGAATTTGTAGCTGGATGCAGGTTAGCGTGTCCCTGATTTCCTAAGGTTTCTTGTTGTCAGGTTAGGAGGTCGTATCCTGGTCTGCCTGAGCTGGGCACAGCCTGCTCTGTTGTCCTCTCGAGGCAGATGAGCGAAGGAAACCAGCACGACCTGGGGAAAGGACCCTGTAGCTCTTCAAGCTTGGAGAGGAGACCCCAGTCCTGGGAAACACAGGGGTCGCAGAATGCAGCCTCCATGTCCCTGGGCTTCTGAGTGTTTCCTAGATGTTTGGATGTTTCCTTCACTCTCTTCAATGCCGCAGACAAAAGGCCAGTGTTCCAATCACTGCGCGTGCCTGGTGGGCTCTGATACGCACTTCAGTCCCCAGCCTTGTGATGGTGACAGTAGAGAGGGAGCCTCAGGTGCTGAGCAATCCCCAGTGTGCCTTCCAAATGAAAAAGCTTGCAGAAGAGAGGGCATTGCGGAGAGGGGGGTTTCTGATGTGTCCGGATTAGTACCAGGGATTTGGAGGTTGTGCCCCCGTTGCATGAACTGAGCTCTGCCCGCGGGGTGCAGGGGATGCAGGGCCTGTGCTGCTTCTCTCATTGCAGGCAATATTCACTCAGCGCAGAGAGGAAAGCAATGGCACATCCAAACAACCTTGACAGATGTCGGATGAGATACCTGATGCGCAACATCGTAAGCTGTGGGGCTCAGTGGTGGTGGTGGTAGCCTGTGTGATCCCCGCTCTCAGGGGTGCTTCTGGAGGACCAGCTAGAATTGATGCTAAGAAGGAAACTCGGGGCTAAGACTCATGGTATTAGTCAAAGGCTTTTACTGCAGCATCTCCCACTTCTGCTCAGAGCAGTACAGCTTCCACCATAGGAAACAGGCAAGCACTGGTCGTGCTGCCTCTGGTTTTATGCAGATGGTGTGCCCAGATGCTGTCCTTCTTCTCCTGTGGGGCACGTGTGGCTGAGCACATGTGTCGCTGCCCAGTGGGTTGCTGAAGGCCTTTTGGTGCAGGCTATTCCTGCAGGCAGTTTTGGGGGAGCTCACTGAGACCCACAGGCTGGGTACCCATCCAGCAGACCAACAACAGCCGTCCATCTGCCCATCCCCAGAGAGGGCAACACCTAGACCCTCATAATCCTGCAGACAAGGCCACCTGGCTGGGTGAGAGCACAGTCATGTACCCTCCATCACAGCTCAGCAGAGCACAGCTGTGCTCATAGTCTCCATCGGACTACGAAGCTTTGAAAGGCTGACCAAAACACAATGACAGCAGCAAGAAATAAAATTTAGGCATGTCTGGGTCCCAGCTCCCTCCCCTCTGCCTCCCTGCACATCATCACCTGGGTGATGGTGAAGGTACTCCGGTAAGTCTGAGACTCTCTGAAAGAGAGAACCAGCCCAAGAGATGAGTTTTCTGGCCTTGTCAGTCTCTACTGGGTTGCACCCTGAATTCCTTCTGGATTTTGTGATTACGTTTTGGTTCATCACAAAGTCTCTCCTCTACACTGTCAACTAGTGGGTGAAAGCCCAGCCCTGTCTTCCAGTTTCCTACATATTCATATCCCCATACCTCTGTGCCTCCAAGCTTCTCCTTGTGCAAAGCCTCCCCCAGGCGCTATCTGGAGCCTTAGACCACCAGCTTCTGGAATGTTTATTCCTTGCACATCTTTCTGCCCCAAATGATGCTCACCGGCTTCTGTTACCGGCTGGTATTGGCAGAGCTGATGCGTTACTGGCATCTCCAGTTCTTGGCACTCTTTGCTAAATGACTTGTGACAGGTTCATGGAGATTTGCTCTCAGCAGCTGAGGAGCGAGCCATGGTGGAGGTCAGGGCATGATGGGGCAGGATGGATGTTATCAGCACACGGGCACTTCCCTGCAGAGCCACTGTGAGGGGTGCCAGCGTGACATGCCTGGGTCACAGCCGGGCGCGTGACGGCCATGCTCTCTGTTCAGATCTTGTATGCCAAGCAAGGACTCCGTGTGAGGCGGCAGCTGACTCGAGCCAACATCAAGGAGAAGGTTAAGGAGACAAGGAGGATCCTGGCAAAGCTACGCTTCATGGCTAAAGAGGTACAGCTGCTCCCGGGGCACCCCGTTTCCAAGCAGGAGAGGGCACTGGGCTGGCTACTGGCACTCTCGCTAGCTGGAGTTGGAGCTTTTCCCCTGCTATCTTTCCTTGCTATGTAAAATCCCAAGGTCCAGCTGCTGGAAGTTACCATATTTCATGTGATGACTCTTCTGAACCGCCCACTGTAGGAGAAGATCAGGTCTGAGACCATCTTAAGAACCTGAAGGTGGACAAGTCCATGGGACCAGACGAGATGCATCCGCGGGTCCTGAGGGAACTGGTGGATGAAGTTGCTAAGCCACTATCCATCATATTTCAGAAGTCGTGGCAATCTGGTGAAGTTCCGACTGACTGGAAAAGGGGAAACATAACCCTCATCTTTAAAAAGGGGAAAAAAGAAGACCCGGGGAACTACAGGCCTGTCAGTCTCACCTCTGTGCCCGGCAAGATCATGGAGCAGATCATGGAGCACATAGAAACCAAGGAGGTGATTGGTGACAGCCAACATGGCTTCACTAAGGGCAAATCCTGCCTGACTGATTTGGTGGCCTTCTATGATGAGGTCATATGTCATATGTCTTGGATGGATAGGGGAAGAGCAACTGACATCGTCTACCTGGACTTATCCAAAGCATTTGATACTGTCCCACATGACATCCTTATCTCTAAACTGGAAAGACGTGGTTTTGATGGATGGACCACTCGGTGGATAAGGAATTGGCTGGATGGTCGCTCTCAAAGAGTTGTGGTCAATGGTTCAATGTCCCAGTGGAGGCCAGTCACGAGTGGTGTTCCTCAGGGGTCGATGTTGGGACCAGTGCTATTTAACATCTTTGTTGGAGACATGGACAGTGGGCTCGAGTGCACCCTCAGCAGGTTTGCAGATGACACGAAGTTGTGTGGTGTG